AATTCAGGTACTTCCTTTTCTTCTTCAGTCAGTGAAACGATTTATCTTTAGTGTGGCTGTGGTGGGTGGGGTAGTTTTGGTGGAGCAGAAAGTTTAGCTTTTGCATTTTAAATTCTCTTGGCTCTATTGTTTCTGTGTTTTCACATTCATTAATCATAAGATGTGTGATTGATGTCAGTGACTTGAAGGGGAAACCTGGTTTTGCCACTGGAACTAAAACCCTCCTCCCTCTTGCAGTAATTTCCCATCGCTTGTGCAAGTTGAAAATCATAGATTGTGGAGGTTTAGAATTTCTCAGAAATTTAATATGAGCTAAATGAATTGAAATACCATAATATCTGGCCCTTGGCACCTTTCTGCTCTCTATTCTAGCTGGTAGTATTTGTTCCTACCTAACATAAAAACTGAGAAAGGAAAAGACCCTAAAGAAGAATTAGCTGTTAGATGTTTTTCTGCTGAGGCCTGATTGTAACTTTCCTAGAAGCTAAACTAGCAATCAGTGGATCTAGGGGTTAGGGCACTGTGCTGTTTATCTGACTTCTGAGTATTCACTGCAGAGTTAAAACTCATTACCGACTTTAAAAAATAAACTTCTTAGGTTGAGATAATTGTAGATTCACATGCAGTGTTAAAAAAGAATGCAGATACTACTAATATCTTGCAAAACTATATAGTACAATGTCACAACCAGGATATTAACATTGATAGTCAAGATACACAACAATTCCATCACCACAAGAATGTCTCTTGCCCTTTTATAGCCACAGTTACTCCCCACCCTGCCTCTGGCAAAGGTTAATAATGTGTTCTTCACTGCTATAATTTGATAATTTCAGGAATGTTATGTAAATGGAATCCTACAGTATTTGACCTTTAAGGATTGGCTTTTTTTCACTCAGCATAAGTCTCATTACCTTTTGGCTAAAATGAATTTCTGCTTTTGTCACTGAGTAGTTTGGATTTATGTTCCTGAAATACCAATAATATGGGGATTGTGGGTTAGGGGTTGTGTGTGAAGATGAGATAGATTTAAATAGTGACAATGGTGAGAAAATTCTGTAATAATGTATACAGACCAAAGTTCATGAAGTCTTGGCTAAGCAAGAGGTATATTGATAGTACAATATGTTTGGGATATTTCAATATGTACATTTTTTTTCCATAATGGAAGTGATAAGATTAGTCTTAGCCATCCGTGATTCCTCATTCAGAGAAATTACTTGACCTTCCCCTACTGAAGTGACATTTTTTACAAGTCAGAAGGAAATCTAATAGATGTATGTACAAAGGTGTTCCAGTGGCCAAATTGAGGACAAGTTGAGCAACAAGGTAAATAATGGATTATAATCTCTAGGGAAAAAATATTTCTTGAGCTCATCTATACTAATAAAAGGGTAATGTGCCATCTTCTGGACGTCCGACTTCCTTCCAGACAAAGCCATGGTGGTGGGGGCCAAGGCAGAGGCAGTTAGGGGCGATCAGGCTGGCAGGGGAGGGCAGTTGGGGGTGAGATCAGGCCAGCAGGGAGGGCAGTTGGGGGCAAGATCAGGCTGGCAGGGCAGGACAGTTGCAGGTGACTAAGCCGGCAGGGTCGGACAGTTGGGGGTGAGATCAGGCTGGCAGGGGAGGGAGTTAGGGGCGATCAGGCAGGCAGGGGCAGTTAGGGGTGATCAGGCAGGAAGGCAGGTGAGCGATTAGGAGCCAGTGGTCCCAGATTGTGAGAGGGATGTCTGACTGCTGGCAGTCGGACATCCTCCAAGCGGTCCCTGATTGGAGAGGGTGCAGGCTGAGCTGAGGGGACCCCTCCCCCATGCACGAATTTCATGCACTGAGCCATTAGTACTAATATAAGTAAATAAGGCAATAAATAGATAATTGGGGGAGAAGTTCCTTGTTATAGTAGAATTCCAAGAAAAAGTGCAGAAGGAGCCCTGGCTGGGGTGGCTTAGTTGGTTGGAGCATCGTCCTGTGTACCGAAGGGTTTGGGGTTCGAGTTCCAGTCAGGGCACATGCCTAGGTTTCAGGTTTGTTCGATCCCCAGTTGGGGAGTGTGCATCCTGCAACTGATCCATGTTTCTCACAGGAATATTTCTCTCCCTCTCCCTTCCTTTCTCTCTAAAATCAGTTTTTAAAAGTGTGGAAGGAATGATGGAAATAGAAAATTACCAGTAGGCAAGCATTGCAGCATAATTGTTACAAGCCAGAGTCATCGATGGGTGCCAAAATTAGTGGGTGAAAGTATGATGAAAAACATGCTATCAAATACCAGAAATACTTGCATAATCTCAAAGTATCTTTGCCACAAGATTAATTATAAAAGGAAGTAAATACTTTATAGTGAAGAAAACTGGCAGACACCAAATTAACCAGGTGATCATGCTTACATCACCAATATTAAGACATATCAACATCATGATTCACTGAGAAGGGCACATCTGTGGTCAGATTCTTATTAAAAAAACTTCAATCTAAGTGTTGGAAAACATTAGACAAACTCAAATTTAAGGACATTTTATAAAGTAACTGCCTAGTACTCAAAAGTGTCCAGGGTATGAGAGGAAATACTAAAGAACTGTCACAGGTTTGAAGAGACTAAAGAAATGTGATAACCAAATGAGATGTGGGATGCTGGAGACCAGAAAAAAAAGTCATTAGGACAAGTGGTGAAATTTGACACACACACACACACACACACACACACACCACACACCACACCAATAAATAGAAAAGAGGGCTAAAACAGTAACTTAACTATTTTTATTCATCTTTTTAAAAATATATATATTTTATTGATTTTTTTACAGAGAGGAAGGGAGTGGGATAGAGAGTTAGAAACATCAATGAAAGAGAAACTTCGATCAGCTGCCTCCTGCACACTCCCTACTGGGGATGTGCCTGCAACCAAGGTACATGCCCTTGACTGGAATCGAACCTGGGATCCTTGAGTCTGCAGACCGACGCTCTATCCGCTGAGCCAAACCGGTTAGGGCTATTTATTCATTTTTAATCCTACCTGAATTTTGTAGAAATTCACAAGATACAGTATATTTAATCAGTTTTGAATATTTCATGATTTCAAATTTAAGTAAACTAGAAGATTTGGTATAAGAAAAAATGTGTAGGAAATAATGTATCTCATGTACATTAAGCAAAATGGAAAATAAATTTTGGTAGCAGCTTAAGGAAGTCAATCCAGGAAGTCAAAAAGGTTGTAGGTCCCTCCCAACCCCCCTTTTTCTTTCCTGTGAATTAAAAAAAGTTTAAATTGTTATTTTTGGTTGATGTGAGAATGGAAGGGGGGAAGGGAGTGGCAAAGGTATTTAAAAAGTCTAGTCAGTGCGCTGACTGTTTTGGCTCAGTGGATAGAGCGTCGGCTTACGGACTGAAGGGTCCCAGGTTCGAGTCAAGTCAAGGGCATGTACCTTGGTTGCGGGCACCTCCCCAGTTGGGGGTTGTGCAGGAGGCAGCTGATCGATGTTTCTCTCTCATCGATGTTTCTAACTCTCTATCCCTCTCCCTTCTTCTCTGTAAAAAATCAATAAAATATATAAAAAGTCTAGTCAGAGACACAGTTATAGCTACAGATGATATAACCCTGTATCTAAATGGAGTGTGTTCAGTGCTTTCATTTAGACTTTTAAGGTCTTTTTCTGTTAGGATTCAAAAAGGGTGAAAAAAGTAATTTCTTTTAAAATCAGCTCAAGGTAGAAATATTTCCACAAACCTTCGCATTGCAATCCTGGAGCACCTCCCCCACCTCTCAGCCCCCCTCTAGTTAGCCACCCACCTTTTCTCCTGGTAAACACTGGGGAATGCATGCTGTTTTTGTGGCCTGTGTACTGTTTTGGTATAACTGAAATTGGTGCTGGAAGATGGATTAAAGCATGTGGGACCTAATGTTTGAGATAACTACAAATAAACTATAAGCCGGGAGGTATTTACTGCTTTCAATTATAAAGATATAAAACCATTTCTTTTCTTTATTTTAAGAGAATTTGTCCCCCTCCTGTTTGATGCTTTCAGTAATAAATTGTGTTTGAGGAAACAAGTGAAAAAGAAAAGACCTGGCCAGACTTTGAAACAACTAAAATCTTATAAAATAAGAAATGTGAAAATGGTTAGGTGTAGACTAAACCTATTTAACATTTGTCTAGTTCTGTATATAAGGAACTATTTGAATCCTTTAAGGCAATAAGTTTCTGATTTCTTCTGGTGCATAATCCTTACATTATGTAGTCTTGCAAACTCCGTTTTCTAAAAGCACACTCAAATATATTAGAAAAAGCTTGGTCCAATTGTTAGAAATATTTGGCTGAGTTACATTTTTTATCCATTAAGATACTGCTTGATCAAACATACACTTCCAAACAACTAGAGATGATTTTTAAAAACTCAACAGTTTAAAAAATTGAAATGCAGTGGCGTAAAATGTGAAGAATTTGCCTGCATTTCAGTTTTGTTTCTGATCTTTATTCATGTCTGATCCCCCTATTTTTAAAATATCCTCATCAAGGATATGTTTATTGATTTTAGAGGAAGAGGGAGAGAGAAAGGGAGAAAAGGAGAAGGAGGAGAGAGAGAACCATTGATTGGTTGCCTCCCGACTGGGAATTGAACCCACAACTTAGGTATGTGCCATGAACTGGGAATGAAACCCAGGACCTTTTGGTGTATGAGACTACATTCCAACCAACTGAGCCACACTGGGCCAGGGCTGATCCCCTACTTTTATAGAGCTGGAAGAAATGGAGGAGCAAGCTTTATGAGCAAATGTTATCTGCATGCCTGCTCCGCTCCTTGGGTTTGAGATACCACAAACTTCTTTTAGACACAGTGTGTGCAGTTCTTCATTCCCAAGTGAGAACCTCCAAACCCTAATCATCATCTGAGACTCAAGTTGGAATGGTGGGAATTCCTATCTTGATTCCCCCGTCTCTGGTATGGTTAAAGTCTACATCACACAGAGAAGCTCTGTGGGAGGCAACATGGTAAAATTACGTTATATGCCCTTGTTCCCACTTTGTATATCCTGGGGTGGCTGTTTTCCTTTGTAGTTACACATTTGTATCTTTAGTGGTATTCACAGAATAGTTCTTTTGAGTTTATTTAGTGTATTTCCTTCATGTAACTTAGTGTTTATGACCCTGGACTTTGGTGTCAAACAAACTGCTTTTTGGTCCTGAGTAGGTAACCTGGATTCCATGGACTGTTAAAATTTCATAAACACTGGGCTCAGCTATTGATTTGTCACCGACTTATTTTGCCAACTAAGCATGTTAAAATGAACGTAAACTTGTTCTTCACTATTATCACTTCATGACATTTTAATATCATAAAAATAGAAAGGTCATGATCTCAATAAATTTAGCTGTTTTACCATATTATTCTGTTTTTGTCAAGGATTGATGAAAATTTTACCATGGGGGTGGGTATGGTAATATTACCAACATCCTATGGTTTGAAGGTTACATACATTCATGGCCCTTAAAGTTCTTTAACAGTCTCTGGCATGGAGTGTTTAATAAATATTTGTTATTATTACTGTTACCTTTTATTTAGTATAAATATATATACCATTATTTGTTATTATATTATTAATATTGCTGTTACTATTATTACTATTAATAGTTGCTATTTATTTGCTCTCTGCTGTTACTTGTCCCCTTAGATAATTTTTCATCATTAGTGTATCTTATAACTAATTCACCAAAGTGATAAATAACACAATTCAAGTCAGTAGGCTTGATTCATAGCATACATTGTATTAGGATCACATTAGTCTGCAGGTTACCCAAAACTGCACACATAACAGGCTTAACTAAGGACTTACTTTTCTCAAACAAGGCATTAAGCCAAATAAAAACAAAAAACCCCAAAATAAAAAACTCATAGACATAGACAACAGTGTGGTAATTACCAGGAGGGAAGCCCTCTTAGGTTAGGTACTTGTTATTGGTCAGAACTGTATCACACCGATACTTCTAGTTACCAAGGAATCTGGGAATTTGAGTATTTTGCTTTTAAGCCTGTATATTACAGAAGGGCAAGAAAGAGAGAGATTAAGGTTAATGAGTGATACAAGCTGATAGTAGTTGTCCGACTTACTTTGCATAGAAAATAGATGATTGTAATAAGTTTATGCAGTGATTCTCAGGAGACCTCTTTGAAAGTCTTACTGGATTATAGCTATAATTATGGAGTAATATAGATATATTCAACTTCTTGGTTCATTTGTTAAGTACTATATGGTTATTTTCTGAACTGCAGTCTCTTACTTGAAAATAGAGATAAAAATACCAGTGGGTGAGCATTATTATAAGTGTAAATGAAACACTGACTCTAATTTTTTTTTAATATATGTTTTTTTATTATTAGTTAAGGTATTACAAATGTGTCCTCATCCCCCCCATTAACCTCTGACTCTAATTTTTAAATAAAATTATTTTTAAATGGTAACTATTGATTGAAATATTGATTTACAATATAATGTAAGATTACATTTTCTAAATTCATTTGATTTTGATTTACTATGTTTTTAAAATTCTGGAAATTTTATTTTATTTTTAAAATGTTCCATTTGTGTGTTCTCATGTTTCTCCTTGTAGTAATACTTTGTCATTTTTCTAGGACTTTCAAGTTTCAATTTGTCATCACTCCCCAAAGATGAATCATCACTTTTTATAAATAAATATACATTTGTATATAAAGTATTTATAAAAAATAACCATTTAAATAGTTTTCTGTAATTTGTTGAATTCATATTTATATCATAAACTTATGTCTTTAAGAAAAATGTTTTCATCTTGAATGTTATACAAGATTAGCTGTAATAGTAAACTTTAAGTATGTACTGTGTTCTGCCTTAGAGCAGTTGTGTTTAGTTTGGGCTTTTTAGGATAGCATTCAAGCTTTATGTATATAAACTGCTCTTAATGTGTGGTGGGATCAGTTAAACAATTTGCTGTCAGAAGTTAATGGCTAGAAATGTTATTGGAAAAAGTTGAGGGTATTTGTCATTTAAAAATATTCTTTGTTTTCATAAGTTGGTTGTGGGGGTGTGTTTAATAAATGCCTGAGTTTGTAGTCTAAGTTAGGATCCTAAGTTAGGACACTCCTTAGCACAGAATAGGAGCTAAAAATGTTCTTTGAAGACTTGATGTTTCTTTCCTGAGAGCCTGAGATACTGGGGAAAAGTAATTATATCCTTTTATATTAGTAGCAAATTGAATAAAAGCTGAAAACTTTTTGGTTAAGTTTCAGCAGCACATAAGTCCTCCTTTATAGAAACGTAACTTTGTGGAACAAACTTATTTTTAGTATCAGGCAGTTGTCTCCTTGTAAATTTAATCACCTTGGTGCTTATATTTTGAGCTGTCATGTACATGGTATTTCACTGGTATTTAAGAGTATATAAAGTCTTCCTCTGGGCTCCTATAACATTTTTATTCTATTTTGCAGATTTTCATTACTTTGAGATTTTGACTATCTTCAAGGACAGTAATTTAAATTAAACTAAATTGCAAAATTAAACTCAATGCTAGAATCTAGAACTAACTTGCTGATGAACTTTTACTATGTAGAGGTGCTAGCCTTGACCCATTTTAATAGATATGACTACTTGTTTTTTAAAAAATGTATTTTCATTGATTTCAGAGAGGAAAAGAGAGGGAGAGAGAGATAGAAACATCAGTGATGAGAGAGAACCATTGGTTGGCTGCCTCCTGCATGCCCCACACAGGGGATCAAGCCCTCATCCTGGTTATGTTCCCTGGCCGGGAATTGAACCATGACCTCTTGGTTCACAGGTTGACGCGAAACCACTGAGCCATGCTGGCTGGGCATGACCACATACTTGTTTTTTAATTGTAAAATGATTAACATGCAAATATGTTAACTTTTTAAGGCTGGTGTCAGAAATAGATTACATATGCTCCATTGAAATATTTGATGACTAGAGGCCCCATGCACAAAATTTCTGCGGGGGGCGGGGGGTCCCCTCCAGCCCAGCCTGCCCCCTCTCCAATCCAGGACATCCCTCTCACAATCCAGGACTGCTGGCTCCTAACTGCTCACCTGCCTGCCTGCCTGATTGCCCCTAACTGCCCTCCCCTGCCAGCCTGATCACCCCTAACTGCCTCTGCCTGCTAGCCTGATCACCCCTAACTGCCTTCCTTGCCGGCCTGGTCACCCCCAACTGCTCCCCACCCCGCCGGCCTGGTCGCCCCCAACTGCCCCATGTGCTGGCCTTGTTGCCCCATGCAGCCTGCTGTTCGCTCTTCGGTAATTACTGTGACAGAGTCCCAGACAATTTGCATATTCCGCTATTATTAGTATAGATTGTATATAAAACTTTAGAAAAAAGTAAGCTGTAATAAAACATATTCAAGTTTGTTTGTTTTTTAAATACATTTTTTAGCAAGAGACATCTTAAGTACATATAGTAACTCAGCAATGTAGCAGAATACAAAATAAAACCCAGAAATCTATGACCTTTTTATATACCAATAATGAACTCACAGAAAGAGAAATGAAAAAAAAAACACAGCACAATCCCATTTACCGTTGCACCAAAAAATTAAGAAACCTAGGAATAAACTAAGGACATAAAAGACCTGTACTTGGAAAACTACAGGACATTGGAAAAAGAGATAGAGGAAGACATAAACAAATGGAAGAACATACCATGTTCATGGATTGGTAGAACCAACATCATTAAAATGTCCATTGTCTTCTACTTTTCACCTGTTTTATTTTTTAATTTTGATTTCTAACTGCTCTTCTTTATTGAAGGAGACAGTGTGATTTCTGGAGTCTCCCAAAGACCCCTAATCCATAGAATGCTTCCCTCGCCTTTTCCCGATGCCTGTAGGACGCTGAGGAAGACAGATATGGCAACATTGGTTCTTGGTATTGAATGGACCTTAGAGATCAGCTGGCCAGTGGATTTCATGTTGTTTCACGGACCTGTAGCTGGCCCCAGAAGCTTCCCAGTGCCCTTTAGGGAGGTGTGGACAGCTAGCCCGACCTGCACACTTTTATCTTTATTAGCAAAAGGAGATTCACCACTAAAACATGGTGAAAATCCCTGATCTAGTTTGGACTCCTGAGTGGAGGAAGGAAGTACCAAAAGGAGTGAAGTGAATTCCTTCATGTCATAGAGACATAGCCAGCAAACTTGAAAATTTAATCCCCTGCCTACACAGAGGTGAGCATGCTTGGCCCACAGCCTGTCGTTGGTGTATAAAGTTTTATTGGAGCACAGCCAGCCTTAGGCCTTACGTATTGTTGGTGGCTGCTTTCACATGACAGACTCTGAATTGAGTTGACAGAGACAGCCTGGCCTGAAAAGCCTAAAACAGTTACCGTCTAGCTAGCTTTTTTTCCAGAAAAAGTTCATTCTTTCCTTAGACTTGAGTCTCTGTAAAAATGCAAGTACCTCTGGAAGAGTGTGGGTGTGGGGCGATTAGTCAGTGCTATTATCAGTTACACGTCAGAGGAGTGGAAAGTTTCTTTCTAATATTTGATAGAGTGTGGAGTGACCCAACTTTGCTAGGAAAGCATATTTTATAATTTTGAGGGACTGAGTCTGTTAATAATATAACATGGTCATGAGTAAAAATGTGTATTTTTAACGATATTCCTTAAATTTGTGTTGTGTTTTCTCAGTCAAGTATTGGATAAATGCAGAGTTATTTTAGAGTTGTTTATAATGTAGTTCTGAACAGATTCGGTTAGTTAACTTTCTTGAGTGGTTTGCTCTATAGTTTAGACAACTTCAAAGACAGAAGATGGGATGGAAAATGGATATCATATTTTTCAAAACATGAAGTCACCCGACCATTATTTTTCTTTCTCACTCAGTGTTATTCTAACTCTGGTTTTATTTCTGTGTAAAATTATTTTTAGGAAATGTCAGAAGTAAGTTCTTTAAACTCTTGAAGTGATTATAATTAGGAATATTATAGTTGCTATTACTAGCCAACTTACAAATGAAAACTTTAGGAGTTTTTTGAGGTGTAAACTCTCATAGCAAATTAATTTTCTTGGCACATGGCACATGTTTTTAATCTTATTTATTTCAAGACCAGATAACTTGATGAAAAGTGTAGGTTGTTTTTGTTTTGTTTTTTGGTTTCACAGAAAAAAAATTTATTACCTTAGAAATAAACACTGTGGTATTCTTGAATTAAATTGATGTATTTAATAATATAGGAAATGAAAATATTGATTTTTCAATTCTATTAATCCATGAGTTTTATGTTCTGCTTCTTAAATAGCTGTAGATAAATAAATTATTTTAGTCCTTAATTTTGCCAATAATAACATTAAAAACTTAGGAAACATTTAACTAAATCTTTAGAAAGTTATTTGGTGGGGTAAATTTACTCATTGATCTTAGCAAGACATTTTCTTCTTTTGTGATGGAATGCTTAATTAGGTATTTCTCTTTTGTTACACCGAAAGTGTGAATTTTCTCATTTTGCATATATTCTATAAGAAATAAGTATCTTGCTGTCTGCCCCTGTGGTTACAAAAATGTGTGTTTCACTGTCTTCTGATGGGCTTACAGGCTTGAAAAGTGTAATCGTGCCAGATAAAGAATTTCTAATTTATTTGATATTCAGTGGGGGCTTTTGAATACAGGCATTAGAAGTCAGCATAGTGCTTGAGGACAGATAATTGAGTAGGCCTGGGATGAACAGGAAGGCTGTGGGGGCTTTTGAAATGCCTGAGCCACACCCTTTGTCTAGCTAGGTACACTGGACTAGCAGTCACACAGAGATGGGTAAGAAGCAGGTCTGCATTCCTTTGAATTGAAACAGACAGACTGGAGGAAGAGGAACCAGTGATGGTTCAGGACTGTCTCTAAAGTTAATGACTTTGAATTATTTTGTCGATTGTGGCTATTCTGAATAATCAGTTACAGTGTGAGAGCAGGATACATGACCATTTTTATGTTTTACATTAGGAGTAGTATGTTAAGAATAATGTCTTACAGTTAGACTGGGACGATAAAGTAAATGAGGGGACTTGCTTTCTCAGGAAAATCAAAGAGGAGTTTGAAGGAGGGGAGGTATGGGTAGGCATTATAGGTTCTTATTATTTCATCCCCTTTTGGGGGGACGCATTAAACACATAAAGTTACTTTTTTTCCCCCTGAGCTGTCTCTTGGGCTCTCAGTGAGAACTTCCAACTGTTTTTAGGGCTCAAAGATCTAATGTCTTCTCTGATGGCAAGCCTGTAGTGTTTTTGCTGAAGAGGTATCCTTAGGCAAAGAGGAATGAAGAGGAGGGACTCACCCAGCCTAGTTTCTCTCTTAGTTAAAATGAGCAAAAACAAAGCTCTTTCAATTATTTTTTCTTCCTAGGTATAGCCAAACATGGACTAGGACTTGCAGTTATTCTCATAAAGTATTTCTTGGTGAAAATACACTCCGAAGGGAGAAATTGTATTCTAGAAGAGCACTATCAGTGTAACTGTTGATATAACATTGGAAAGACACTGGGTAGAATGTGGAGTGTTTATTCCTGATGATCTGTTACTGTCCATCGGATATGGTGCTCCTGTGCCGGACGTTGTGTTCCCAGAAGAGATGTGTTTCTGTCCACGTTGACTTTCTTGACATAGCATCTTGGTCTTCTTTTGGGTTTTCAAGAAATCTGGAGCTAGAGGAAAAGTATTCTTCCTGAATGAGGCTTTCATTATGAAAAAGACAAAACTATTGAGGCGTGAAGCCCAATAGATATTCTGGGCCCAGTTCCTGGCATGTTGCTGGGTGCTCTACTCAAAAACATTCAACCTTGTGTTGTACTAAAAAAAATACCCTAATTTCCATATAGTTTGCAATCAAGAATTATTTTACTGCTACTTTATCTTATTTAAAAGGGTTGTAGGCGTTTTATCTAAATCTTGAAATTGGATTCAGAGATAAAACTGTTTACTTTTTATTAGGTTATTTATCTTATATCCAAATAGAAACTTGCACGAGTTTATCTTTTTCTCCTTTTAGTGTGCTGTGGAGTTGTCTTCAGAAGCTGTTACTCCTTGGCAAGCACGAAGATAACTTTTAAGCAATAGTTCATATATTAGAACTTGCACATCTGTAGTAAGTGAATATATCAGTGTGTGTAAAGGAAAGAGACTATTCCAGTGTGATCTTTTTGGGGTTAGAAGTGAAATAACCTAAAGGAGAGCATTTGCCCTCATCATGGTTTAGGGGCGAGACACCAACTATACTCCAGATTTGCAATAGTGTCTTGCCAGTATTAAGTGAAACTTTGTAGAAAAATGCTAATGAATACCATGTTACAATGTGTATAGTATCAGGACTCCTTACTCACAAATGGAAATTGTCCTAGTGTGTACTTCAGGTACTTATTCTTGGAGGATAATCAGTTTTTATACTTTAAGATGTTGCCTCAGTTATTCATGAAAACAGTTAACTAATGTACTCTCCTGGAAATGATAAAAAAATGAATTTAAAACTTTAAACACACATTTTGTACATTTCTACTCTGTGTGTGTGGGTTTTAAAGGAAGGAAGTACATGTTAAACATATTTAATCAATTTTCAGGAAGAGAGTATTTACCTTCACGTTGGTTAAAACAAAATACAAAATAGCATGGAGGAAAGAGAAAAAAACAATTAGCATCTCCTATAAATCTGAAAGTCTGGTGGAATGCAATCCATAATTTTCACTAAACTGGGTCAAATTTTTAGGAAAAACAACATCTCACTCATAACTTAAAACCTTCCCTTTTTTGTGGGCCACTGGGGCTCAGTGGTTGATTGTGGACCCATGCACTGAGGGGTCGGTGGTTCGATTCCTGGTCAGGGTACCTGCCTTGGTTGCAGGCTCAGTCCCTGGTGGGGTCTCGTGCAGGAGTCAGCTGATCAGTGTTTCTATCTATCTCTTCCTCTCTCACTAAAATAGTAATAATAATAAAAAAAATTAAAAAACCTGGTCTTTTGTATTTTATAGTTTTCTTTATATATGCAACAGGTTAAATAGGTTACATTTATTGTAAAATGTCATTCTTATCTTTTGCCCAACATTTCAAAAAAAAATCCTCATCCCTCTCATAGCTTTCAGAAGGTTATAAAGACTTTTTCAGAATTTTCTTCTTAATGCATTGGTTCAACACTCTCCTGCTGATTGTGAGAATTACTACATTAAAAATGTTTACGGGAACCCGTGCTTATCTTTCTCCTCTGCTGTTAGGGTAGATCCTAACTTCATTTCCCTTCATTTTTACTTTTCCCAGTTGACTATAAGATCAAAAGTACAAGAAGAGAAAGTTGTGGATTTCTTTGTTTAGAAGGGTATTTTAGAGGAAAATACCTAAGGTTTCCTTTCTCTTTGTCAAGTAGAACCCATTCATGTGGGGTAGTATTTGGCAAGAATAATACTTGTAATCACAAAGAACAATCATCTTTCATTATCTTGCTGGTAAACTGGTCCTGTGTTTGAACTGATTTTTATAAAAAGCTAACCCTGGAGTTTGGGAAATTAAACATCAGTTCATTTTTCTTTGTAGTTCTTTTTTCTTTTCTCACTGACACCGTTCTTGGGGCTTTATCATTGCCCCGTAAGCGAGGATTTTTATTTTTTCCCTTTTGCCCATACTAGTAGCTCCTCATTAAATGCTGACCTTTCTCCCTCACACCTATCCTGGTCATTTTTTAAGGACTAATTTAAATGCTCATAAAGTCTTTTCTGGTCAGTTGGGCTGGAGGTTGAATTTTTCTTTATGGATATTTTTCCTGTTTTTAGCTTGTGTACCTCTTGAAGGCATTTCTCCTGTGGTAATTATTTTCATAATTATTAGGTGTACATATCTTACCTCCTATTTCAAACTGCAGAAGTCTTGGAAGGTGAAACTGTCTTATCGACATTTGTGTTTCCATGGTGTCTTATAATATGTTAGCATTCTGTAAATATTTTAATGTACAAAGTGTGTGTCAGACATTCTGACAGTAATTCAATAACCATACTGATGAGGTACAACCCAGTTTGATACAATTTTAAAATTTAACACTTAGGAAAAAATGTTAAATTATTTAGTTGTAACATAATTCAGGCTTGTGATTATATTAAGACGGAGCCAAAATTGATTCTTAGAATTGCCTAGTTAGGTGATAGTGATTCCAATTTTACTTAGTCACCATGACTTGGGTCAGTCACAGAAGCAAGTCGAAAGTAAAGACCTGAATCCTAGGCATAGTGTTTTGAATTCCTAAGCTCTGGACTTCAGTTTGCTGCCTTGGATTATATTTGGGTATGTATACATTTGCTTTCACTGAATTCTGAACTCTGTTTTCTACATCTACCTTGTAACCTTTTTAAAGTTAGGTTAGCGATATTTTAAATTGAAGGTTCAACTCTTGTAAGATCCAAAAAGAAGAAAATTGAGAC